TCTCTCTCTCTATTTCTCTCTCTCGCTCTCTCTCTATCTCTCACTCTCTCTCTACATCTCTCTCTTTATATATATATATATATATACACATATACTATATGAACACTGTATCGTTGAGTCATCCATAGAACAAAGCGTGTAATACAAATGTTCTCATCACAACGGGATAACAGATTTTATAAGTCAGCGAACCGTGCACGTACTATAGTCAACTCTCGTAATCCTTTCTAGTCGTCTGCACGAGTTTCCTTTACGCCGCACATTTCGCACTCGCACAAACATTTCACGATCGACGTCGATTTCGCTTCATGTTGCCACGTCTAGCTTTTGTCGCTTCACATCACCAAACGAAATTGCATCAGAGCGCGAGAATTAGCGTCCTAACAAAACGATCGAATGTACACAAAAGACGTTTTACGTGCGAAAAAAATCCCGACACAGGCCAGGTGCACGAAGCGCGCACTAATACATATCTGCGTGCACCGCTGCCGGCATCTGATGACTAGAACTGTAATAGAACACGGTGATAGCATTCATTCTATATACTGTTTACTTTGTGACCAGTGTGGAAGGCAGCAGCTGTCTCAGTTCTGATTATGAATCCCGTGTGAAAATCCAGGCTGGCTATATGCCACTGCATCGCTGTAACAAGGTAAACGCTGAAATGTCATCGGTGAGTCGGCCAGGTATAAAAGGCTGCTGGAGACCTCTTCGTGAAAAATGTTGTTCTCACAGATTGCGCGACATACTCTCTCTTTTGCTATTTTGCTATTATCTCTCTTTTTACGTTTCGTGATCAGGACGCATGCATCTCGTTTAAAAAAATATAATCTTGTGTACAACGACATAATCTATCCTGATTCCACTGCGTAACATATCTCTAGCTGCCGTATCCGTGAAATTCGTCTAATGTACGGCTTTTTTTACTAAATTTATTTTAATTAACTTTAAATTTTTAAAATCAAATAAATGGTAATGACATTGTGAACGAAATATTATATCGGAAAATTACTAGATGAGATGGCGTGCGTTATTCGGTTGCCGTGAGTAATAAAGCATGTTCATTTTAACTATGACGAGTTTGAAAAATCAATGCATTTTTTGCACGCTCCGTATTCTGCACGAACGAAATATTTGTGAGTAATGGAATCACTTTCAGAGTATGCATTTATTTATTAAAAAGTTTCAACAGTGACCACAAGCAGGTATTATTCTAAACAACAGCACGAATTCAGTATTTGGGGATTTACGGATGTCATGTGGTTAGACAAATAGCACGTCACGAAGCATTTGTACAATGTGAACAATCCCCAAGCCTGTTAAAAGTACATATATGAATGTTATTCATGGAAGCGCGGAATTTCCAGGCAAGAACAGGGAGATGTGCATGCACCGATGTATTCTTGCTCTAACGCTAGCTGCTCCCATACATATTTCACTCTATTTGACGTTCATACCGTTCATCTTATAGAAATAATTTACTTGCGATATGTTGTTACCTCGTGAGAAATAAATAAGATATACAAAGCAAGGCAGTGAATTCGTTTTAAACATTCAGGATGACATTTAGAATATAAACCGGATGTCGAAAACATATATGCGATAAAATGACGCGTAGAACGCATTCACTGTCAGGAATTTTCCACGCAATGCGAAGCAAAGCAGAAAATGAAACCAGCATTACAGTTTTTGTGCTAAAATGTCACAATATACAGCTTCAAACATGAATACATATAAAACAATATTTATAGCAAAGTTTATATTACACTCTCATTTGTTGTAATGTTGTGTAATTGATTCGACATTTTATTCGAATATCGGTCAAACACGTGGGAACCGTATAACATTTTCACAGAAACATGCGCGTGGCTTAGACCGATTATTCAATTAAAAGGCTACGTGGCAGGCGTTTCCTGTACGTCATAGTCAAACGTGTAGCAGTATATCGGTTTGAATCCATTAGTATATATGCGTAAGGTTCGAAAACGAAATAGGCCTACTACCAAACCAAAGCTACATACTACCAGGAGTAGATAATAGGGACCCCCTATTATCTACTCCTGACACTACGCGTGCTCTTAATCATCTTCTGATAGTTTACTGGGAGAATGTTCGATGGTGGCTACAGCTGGGCTAGCTATGAGTATTCCTACAACTCCTCCTTAATAGAAAAGTATTCGCAATGTTGTAATAAAATAATAAAATAAGATAAATCGAGCTCTAGGCCTACTAGTTCGCATTTCGCACACAGGTGGCGCTTCCAGCGTCATCGCGACAGCCATCCCTTATTATTAACAACATCCTTCGAATCATTTCTTCGCGATCATCAATATAACGCATGAATGCAACAATAAATAAAATGTTTGTGTTTCTTTGATAATAACAATCATGTGCAAATGATATACGTCAGGCAGTGTGATCACACGTGATGAGTATGCTTACAAGTTACAACGTTTACGTATTAGGCTTTACGTATTAGGCTAGCGTATCTCAATATGGTGTGAAATCAGTGACGTCTCTTTATGTCATTGCCATATTTGTAGATCGGTGGACCTCTCACGTACCTGCCCCGGTTACCGTAGGTGTAACTGTCGTCATCGTCGCCCCTGTAAGTTTCGTGCTCGGGCTCGTACGGGTACTGACCGTAGCGACCGTACGTGGGACGGTTGTAATAGCTGGGTCGCGTGGCGTACTGCGGTGCGTACGTGTACCGCGCGTAGCGACCGGACGGTTCTCTGCTATTCCTTCCGAGACGGTCGTCAATTGACGGCATGTAGGGCGAGTACTCGGACGTGCCACTGCCAGAGTTCGAGTTCTCGTACGTCTTTGGTCGTGCTTCGTTGCGCCTATAGTAGTTGTTGTAGTTGTCCTTATCCTGGTAGTAGCCCTTATCGTAGTTGCGTCCGTTGTTGAGGTAATCGCGCTTGTGGCCCTTGTCGCTGAAGCGCTCCTTCGCTCCCTTGTCGACGTTGTAGTTTCGGAAGTAGTACTTGCCGTTGCCCTTGTTGAAGTAGAAGTCGCCGTTACCTTCCTTGTAGTCGACGTGACCTTTGTCCAGCGCGCTTCTCTGACCGCCGTAGTGGGCTCCGCGTCCGCGGTTGTCGTGCTTCCCTATGTACGAAAGCACACACACACTGCATAACCATAAATACATAATATACACGTACATAAATATATATAATATACACATAATATATATATATATATATATATATAATATACGCACATACATAACGATTTATATACGCGTACATAATGTTTTAGCTGATATGTGATAATTCTGGATACGGTCGGTGCTACAGCTGATGACATGCGAGGCAATATGAGAGCGAAGGGACAGGGTGAATTTTGCAGTTCTACGCAGTAACGGGTATAGGCCTTCGCTGCACGATAACAGTCCTTACGAGTCGTTTATAGCATCCATCGAAAATTCGCAATTGCGTTTCGTATATTCTTCGCTGAAAAACTCTAGCAAATGGTAACCGCGCTACGAACTAGTTCTAGCAGGAATGCATAACAGAGAACTCTGACCATCTGTGGCACGGCCAACATAGGGATATTGAACTAGAGCTAGTTACGAACTGACGGCAGTGCCTATATACAATGGTTAACGCATTAGTTCACCACAGCGCCTATGCTATACTGGCGCATCTGATTGGGTTCATGCAAATTACCGTTGTGGTTGTAATGACCCTTGTCATCATCCTTGTGGTGCTGCCCCCAGTTTCTCCGAGCGTACCCAGAGCCACGATCATAGCCGCTGCTTGCCACCTATAAACATAAAATGTCACTATGATCATCACACGTCAAAGTACACAGGCATAAAACATTCGCATATAGGTAGTGAAGAACTACAATAACGGAATATAAACAGAATTATAGAGATACGCACGCACATGTGTAGGTAACATAAGAGACGAATCAAGCTGCTGAAAATACCAGGAGCGTCATAATTAAATATATAGATATATAAATATATAGATATATAGTCTATATTATGACGCCACTCCTGATATGTAATCAATTCATTTCAGATGTGAATCATTTTCAGTGTGCTTTCAGCAATATGCCTGCATCGAGCTACCTCTAAGTACATCGTGTACTGCGAGATCGACAGAAAACAACATATTCCTACGATAAATTTACCAAGCCTAGAAGTGCGGTGGCGATCACCAGAACAATCCCTATCCTCTTCATGATGCGTTTTGCCGATGATATATATTACAAATCACAAGAAAACTCCGTTCAATGTTTTCAGCCCGCAGACAGGCTATGCACTGGTCGCGGAATTGATTGTTTCGACATTTTTATAGCCGTTGAGATGGACCTGTTGACCCATACTGGCCCTGTGAATAATAAATGACACCGGCAATCACAATTTAGCCTTCATGTCCGGCGATTTTCTATTTTAGCGTTTCATTATTCAAAGAGCGTGTGTCGCGAAGTGCGCAGCGGTAATGTATAGAAATGCTTAGAACCCTACTGACCCCGATGTTCACATTCTACGCTGAAAAACATCTATAGCTGCTATTTCTGTACATCGTTTGGTGAGCTCATTAGAGGCGTATCATGGTTCTTCGGGTTTCAACAATATACGGCATTATCTATAGTGAGATATAACTAGATCTCGGCTGATAATTCTATAGAATGCATTCGTATACTACGCGACTCTTGAAACTCTCGCGAATACCAACAACAGAGTATAGCTGCTATTTCTGTACATCGTTTGGTGGGCTCATTAGAGGCGTATCACGGTTCTTCGAATTTCAACAATATACGGCATTATCTATACTGAGATATAACTAGATCTCGGCTGATAATTCTATGGAATGCATTCGTACACTACGCGACTCTTAAAACTCTCGCGAATACCAACAACAGAGTATCATTTGAGCCGCTGGAAATGTTCGAAATATGCTAAAATTGCCCATAATGACGTGCAATTTATCGGCATGATTTCTAAACCAAGGGCCGAGTGCGAGTTTACAAAGTTCACGACATTGTGGGTCTATGGTTTCAGAATAATTTATGTTTTTGCACGAGGTGCATGAATAATACCAATGTGTATGACATACCTTTATATTGGTAACAGATCGGAAATTCCCCCAGCGATATGATACCTAATACATCTTTAAACTATAGCAAATTGGCTATTTAATAATGAATAATTTGGTTGCATACTGACAAACTTTAATATATATAATAGCGTCTAATCGAGACCAGAGTCTAGTGTGTATCGATTTCTTTAATCATTTTCCAAAATTTTACGTTATACGTGTGACACGTACAGCAATACGCGTGCACACTTCAAATTGAATTCCGCAAATAATCCTAAATTATAAGAAACTAGTCTATGCCCGTTAGGTCGTCAGAACTTCTGTGTAGACCACATTGTTTATGATAGAACGTTTAGTTGTGTCTTTGGCGTCTACGGCTAGAATCTTTAGCTGTAGGGCACTTCCCACGCGGCTAGCAGTGACGTAGAACTGGCCGTGACGGAAGAAGTCTTTGACCGTGTAGACGCCGACACGGTGAAGGGACTGCCCTTGTGACTTGTTGACTGTCATCGCAAAGCAAAGGCGGATTGGGAACTGGCGGCGTATCATGGTGAAAGGAAATATCTTCTCACTAGGCGAACTGGAGATGCGCGGAATGAGCAGCTGTCGACCAGCATGGACTCCAGACACTAACTCAGCGACGACCAGATGCGCGCGATTGCTGCATGGATTGCCGGTTTCTGGAACGGCGTTGCTCTGAATGGAACCATAATTAAGGAATATAATTACGCAATGCTTAGGTATCGACATAAACAAAGTATGGTGTAAATAATTAATTGAATATATGTCTCTTGTCTTAAGGCGTGAAAATGCGTACCTGTAGCCTGTATCGTCTCTGCAGCGCGCAATTGCTGCATGGATTGCGCGGCTTGGTGGAACGGCGTTGCTTCGCTGCTGAATGCGAAATATAAGTAGTGGAATGTAAGTAATGGTATTGTAACTTAAAAATACACACACAACATTACACACACACGACACACACCCACGACACACACACACACACACACACGAACACACACCCACACACACACACACACACCCACACACCCACACACACAAACGCGGGGCGCGCGGCGCACATACACACACACAACACACACACACACACACACCACACAACACCACTCACACACACATACCACACACACCACACACACACAAACGCCGCGCGCGCACACACACACACATCACACACACACACACACACACACACACACACACACACACACACACACACGCATACGCATTACGCATAAAACACACACAACGACACGCATACACCAAACACATTACACTACACGCAACTATAGACACACACACAATACACTACACGGCACACCAACAGCACACACACACACACACACACACACACACACAACACACACACACACACACACACACAAACACACACACACACACACCACACACACCACACACACACACACACACACACGCACACAAACACCCCCCACACACACAACACACAGCAGGTGCGCATACACACACTAACTAAAAAAATAAGATAGCTTGTAAGAGTATAATTATTAGAGGTCAGTCTGAACGTTGTACGTTTTACGTTTACGGTTGAAAATCTTACCTGCGACATCAGGAGTTTCTTGACAGCGGGCGACTTTCTTGCGGGCGGTATCTTGTCGATGCTTAATATCTCGATGTGTCAGTGATGCCTTTCTTTTTGGTGGCATTAGCTGGGCACTTGTTATAACCAATTTTTTGCCGTCTGGAAACTTTGACTTATGTTATAACGAAATGCGCTCCATTTAAGAAACAATGTAAAACAATGTTTAACATTTCTCTGGTTAGATTCTATGGAGCGACTTAATGCCCGGCGCACACGTGAGTTATTTTACTTAAGTAAAATGACGCATGAGTCAAATTACTCAACGAAAATCCGCCGCACACGTGAGTAAAATGACGCATGAGTCAAATTACTCAACGAAAATCCGCCGCACACGTGAGTAAAATGACTCATGCGTCATTTTACTTGAGTATAATAACTCACGTGTGCGCCGGGCATTAGAAACCACTAAAAAGCAACTTAGAAAATCTTAGATGGAGAACATTTGGTTATACATTGTTTTTTACATTGCCATTGTGTTTTCGTGTTGTGACGTTGCATCGCGCTCGGTGCAAAAATTTCCCACTTTTTAAAGGGATAGTTTACTCTAGGTTGTAGGGTTATTTTCAGTTAATTTAGGTTAAAATTACGCTACATAAAAAGTTTCATGGTTCAATCACAATTAGAAATGTTATAAAAAAATGTTTTAAAACTAACGACTACAGTTTGATTACAACGACGGTGGCGCCACTCAAAGCGCGCGATCTGATAAGTTGCGCAAAACCACTTTCCAGCCAAGGGCTACAGACCGAGGGTGTTTCTTATTTATTAATTTAAAAGCAAAAGGATTGTAATATCTTATAAATGACATATAGTTTCAGTTATATCATGGATAAATTTGTCCTAAAATGAACATCGTTCGGTTAAATAGCATTTAGGTATGAATATAATTGCACCTTTGTGATTAGCCCTCGGTCTGTAACGTGCAAAATAAATTGGCAAATACGCAACTTTTTCAGGGTGGCAGCACGATCGCGGGTGTCATGGCGCCGTTCAAATTTCGTAGCGTTGATGTGTAATTAATTAATTATAACAATTAAATTAGGTATCTGGTGACAAATACATGTGGGCATAGACGATTTGTTGAACAGTAAGTACAGTTGTATGCAGAAAAATCCTAGAGTCTACTATCCATTTAAATGTTTTTGAACGTGGAATGTGAAAAAAATGCAATGTGTGTATGGACAATGCACATGCATTGCATGCACTGCAACGTGTCATGATCTGTAGAATGTTCCGATCAAGTTTGGAAAGGATCCGTTGAGCGGTGCGGAAACGTATAGCCGGACAGACATAGACAGAAATTCTCTAATTTATAGTAAGATTTAGTAAAGGCTTTTGAGTGCTAACGGATGCTGAAAATTGGCTGGTTGTTCTCAGGCGGATACATATTTAGAATAATTACTATATAGAGACGGAAATTGTGAGACGGAAAACGTTCCATCTGCTGCATATCGTGTCAATTAGGGACTTTCCGTTACGATGGATCTCCTTACAAGCACAGGCCGTAGTTCTTGGCTAGCTTTGCTTAATACGCAGTTAGTTGCACGACGAAAATGAAGCGCACACGTTCGCATTGCGCACAATAAACCCATATAACATGAGAACAGACCACTATTAAATTTTCCATAGGATTCTATACTTAAGAATTGAATTTCAGGAGCTGAAAAATAGTATTTCGGCCATTTTCGGCCGAGTGGCAATATTAAAGCTAGGTAGCCATGTACTTCACAGCTGAAACTGTACTTCACCATTAGAGTTATGATATATGTTGTCCGGCGTTTTAAAAAAATATCGCGAATTTACGAATCGACACCACATTTGTGCCTGAAAAACAGTCGCGCAGTCGAATGGGGAATAAACATTTGGGGATTGTACATGTCTACCCGTAGCATGTGACGAATTTATTTTAATCTGAAATGTGTTGTGGGTTTTATTACTACATTAATACGTAGGATCTCTATGTAAAATATAGTGAGATATATCAACCGACTACATATACGTAGTAAACATAGTTTTAAGTGTTTGTTCGGATACGAAACCGAATGTATCCTAATGTGTGATCATGCATTAGCTTGTTATTCACAACCATATATTTACCAAATCATAGAAAACAGAAAAACAATAATATTTTAATGATAGATAAAAAGTATTTATTTTAGGCTTTCTTATATCTACGTCTTCATTCAGCTGGATTTCCCTAGATTCACGAATAATAAAAGGTTGCTAAAAGTGCAAGATAATTTTTTCATTTTATTTTATTGACCGATTTCCATTGCAGCGACGTAGTCAATATATACACGTTGTTTGGAACTTATTACTTATAGAATTATGAGAAGGAACGTGTGAGAGGCAGCTAATACATGTCTTATCAAGCATGCATGTCTTCTAGCCTCATTAAGAGTGACATGCAACTGCTACTACAGAGATCAGAATGACACCAGGTGTGTGCATGGTGGTTGGCTCTGTTAAGCATTGTGGCTGTTGTTACACAGCGTTATCACAGTCGTTGACTCGTAAACACCTTCTATAGTAGCGACTGAAAGAAAACATTCTTTACGTGAATTCTACTTCGGATCAGTTTTGTTTTCCGCATTGAGTACTGAGCATGAAAATTATTTTAATAGCTTTTCAATGACACCGAATAGGGTAGTTGAAAAAAAGATATTCTTTTTGCCTGTACATTTCCGAACATTGTTTTTAAGGTTAAATTAAGCCGTCTCTATTTAGCTGCGATGTTTCCTGCTACAGCCGTATAAGCTGGCTAAAATTCTGTACATTATAATACAAGCTTTTACCTTTCATGTATTGCAAATCTCTAGCAACAGTCGGTATTGAAAGTTTGTGTAAGGCACATCGTTTTAACTACCCGGGGTTAACCCCAACTAAATTAACCCCATTCAGCATGACCAGAAAGAAACAGTAATGGTCGTTATAACTGCACGTAAAAAATATCCTCTATTTATCTCATACTATCCACTCAGCTATAAGCGTGTCGTGACCACAGGAAACCCTCACACGGCAACGTTAAGTAAAAAATCAATTTTTTATCGTTCCTCTAATATTCTACATCGTCTGCTTTCGTTTTACACCCTCCTGTCTACTCTCCCGCGTGGTTACCCACATGCAGCTCTACCCCCTCCTCCTATCATTAAACGGCGATCAAGCTCTAGTACTATATCCCTTGTTGCGACAGGCCTGTGGGCCTGTGGGCCTTGTTGTGACTGTGGCAACAAGTGTTATAGAACACAAGCTTACGGCGATCGTGCGCTAGTGATATATCCCCTGTTGCGACAGGCCTGTAGGCCTCTCTGGGCCTTGCTGTGCCTGTCGCAACAAGTGTTATAGTACTCAAGCTAACGGCGATCGTGCTCTAGTTGTAGTTTGACCCGTAGCCGGTTGGATTGGGGTTATAACGCGGAGACGGGGACGTGCCAGAGTAGCCGGGTCGGTTGAAGGAGTACGAGTCTTCCGAGTAGATATTCGGCTGGCGCGGGCGCGGGTAGCCGGACGTCGGAGGCGCGTGGTTATTGTCGCTGCCGCTCCCGTACTCGTCGTCGTTTCGCCGGTAGCCGTAGCTCGCCGGCCGCTCGTAGTCAGAGTCCCGACTGGTGGCGCCATCTCTCGGCGGTGGCGGCGGTGATTTGTAGCCAACAGCGCTGGCCTCCGCCTTCGCCTCCTCCTGCTTCTCGAGTTTGTTGTACTTGTGTAGGATGTCGAGCAGGCGACCGAGAGGAATGCTCTCCTCCTCGGACTCGTTCACCTCCGGCGGTCTGACGGGAGAGGTGTCGACCTGCCGAGGAAAATTAAACAACATGCTAAGACAGCGTTCTCATATTTTTTGGTACCACGACCTGCCAAGAAAATTAAACAACATGCTAAGACAGCGTTCTCATATTTTTTGGTACCACGACCTGCCGAGGAAATTAAACAATATGCTAAGGCAGCGTTCTCATATTTGTGGTAGCGTTCTTATATTTGTCGACATGCCGATGGAATTAAACAACAATGCAACAAAATTAAACTAGCTAGGCAGCGTTCATATATTTCTTGTGGTGATCGCGTACGCGGTATTGGCATAATTACGTATGATTGCCATTATGATTGCCTGTACTACTGGGTCTAGGGCTGTGCGAACGTAATCTTAGAATATAATTCTTTGACCTGCCGAGGAAATTAAACAACATGCCAAGGCAATGTTCTTAAATTTGTGGTGGTGCACCACCATAAATATCTGAACGCTGCCTTAGTATGTTGTTTCAAAAATATCACGAGTTCAAAAATAACGGTGTCAAATATAATTGTAGAATACTAATTCCCGAAATTTCTGCTCATCGTGGTGTTAGGATTTTAGCATTATGTCAACCTGTCTAGATCTATTATATACTTTCGCACAGCCCTAGACCTATAGTAGCACATGTACAGGCCTAGCACAGACCCAGTAGCACATGGCTAGCACAGAGCCAGTAGCACAGGTCTAGCACAGACCCAGTAGCACAGGGCTAGCTCAGACCCAGTAGCACATGGCTAGCATAGACCCAGTAGCACAGGGCTAGCTCAGACCCAGTAGCACACGGCTAGCGCAGACCCAGTAGCACAGGGCTAGCACAGATGTAGTAGCACAGGGCTAGTGTACCCGTACGCGGCATTGGAGTGATTGCGTATGATTCCAATTATGATTTTCTGTGCTACTGGGTCTGTGCTTTCCCTGTGCTACTGGGTCTAGGTCTGTGCGAAAGTACCGCGAGGAATTAATATTCCATATCTATCTGACACCGTTATTTTTGAACTCTGTAGTACGTACACACTATCAGTAGTGATCGCTAACATTGATCCCATAAAATACTCCGATAACGGCAATAGGGCACGGGTAAGGTTTTTCAGAAGTCGGTACCATTTAACGTAGGAATTTACACATCATGCCATGCGTAACGACGGAACACGTTTCGTGTGGCATATCTCCGACTGAATCTGCTGTCATCCTATCAGGAGTGAGCTTATTCACTCCTGATCCTATTCATGCACGAGCAATACTCACAGAGCTTAGCTCCACAATCACACTTGTGCACGAACCAACCCAGACCGAGCGTACGTTCCACGTACAACCCCGCCGAGATTTCGTAATCTTTTTATCTTCATACGTGATGCGTGCGCCTCCCCTCCCCCTCCCTCCCGCCTACTCACCCACCCGCCCACACATACCCCGAACACTCGTTCCACACGTAACTGAGATGTTCAGCGCGTTAAGAGAGACGTCGCCCCTCCCACCACCACCACCACCACCACCACCATTACCACCACTACCACCACACGCGAGCCGCGCTATTACATCTCCTATTACATATACATCTCATACATATACATATATATATATATATATATATATATATATATATATATATATGCGTATAATCTCTATACATATACAGCTCTATACATCTCCTAATCTCTAAGAATCGAAATCGACGAAGCGGAGAAGCGATTGCGCCGCGCGTTGCTAGCCTAAGCGAGGTCATCAAGGTGAGAGAGAGAGAAAGAGACGGGGAGGGAGGCGTGCTACGTGCTAGGGTCGGCCTCCAACGTGTTTCTCCTTGTCGTGCTTGTAGTACTTGATGCTTGGCCGTCTTTAGGTGGCAGGTGATGGACTTGAGGAATAGCTCGAGGGCTTCCACATCTCGTGTTCGTGAACTGGAACGCTGAAGATGAAGATGATACAGCGGTATCATTGTTTATTATCTCAGCGCAATCATTCGAGGTCCGTATGAAATGTAATAGCCACGGGGGCTTTCTCAACGAACTAATGCTTCATATATATTTATATATATATATATTATTTATATATATATATATATATATATATATATATTTATTATAATATATATATATATATGTGTGTGTGTGTGTGTGTGTGTGTGTGTGTGTGTGTGTGTGTGTGTGTGTGTGTGTGTGTGTGTGTGTGTGTGTGTGTGTGTGTGTGTGTGTGTGTGTGTGTGTGTGTGTGTGTGGTGTGTGTGTGTGTGTGTGTGTGTGTGTGCGTGCGCGTTCGTGTGCGCGTGCGTGGGCGTGTGCGTGCGTGTGTAGGTGTGCGTTTGGCTGCATGCATGCGTGTGTGTCGGCTTGTGTTAAAACAGATTTCCGTTAAATGGGGAAACTAGTGTTCTAGCCGTGACTTGCGGCGCCGAACGCGCCATGCCGTTAATAAATTCCAGGCAATAAATGACAACTTGTGTTAATAACACATTTTCAAGGACGTTGCAAGCAATCAGTTGCCTGCGCGCTAGAGACCCCTCCGTACCTTGCATTTAGTCAATGCTGCTGCTGTTGTAACTCACTGTAATAAACGTGCAATTTGGACGCGATCGGAGTGTGAGCAGTGTTCAGTAAATTGCTGACACAATTACGATGATAAAAGCCTATTTGTTGGTTTCCCCAAAATAACCGAGAGGCCAGTCGAATTAAGACCAGAGTAAATAGTCCTGGCTGCCGTTTATTTCTCGTAAAGCGCGTTGTCAAACACGGATGAAGAGGCCAAAACGCGCTGGTTGTGATTCTGGCAATTTCGGATGACGTTCTTCGGCGGTTATATTACCTGAAGCGTTAGAGCCACTATTGAGTGTCATCCGGGAACCTGATTTCATCACGAACTGCCGACAGCAGCGTTCTAGCTCACTGACATCCATCCGATTCTAACACAACAGTCTCTACACGAGCTGTTTGTCAATCCGGATTTTACGTAAACTCGTAAACACAAATACATATTACCTTGATATTTTAATTGATAATAAGTTTGCGATTATTACGAAGCTGCACTGTAAGGATTGGTACTCACCTGTTCATTTATAGCGACATATTGGATACTATTTACGTGCTACCCTGTTCAAACCGCTATTGTGATGTGCCTGTTATAGGTCAAAAGGAGGTAATCAAATTCTGAACTTTATGCCGAGCTAGATTAACCGATTAAACGTTACTTAATAAACATATATACACTATAGCGGTTGGAGATAAGGTACCACTAGGAGGCAAGCACTAGTAGGTCAAAGCACAAGGGTACGAAGCATTTCACTATAGGTGGTAAGACGTTGAGACAGCCAGATAATTTTGCCAAGATAAGTCGCCAGCAGATCGTTCTGCCTAAAGCTATTGCAAATTAAAGCAGCATCGTCTCCGCGAGCAATTCGCGAAATAAAACTCTGGTAGAAGGTGTTTATAGTGATCCGGTTAGGACTAGGACTAAGTCTACGATTATTACCGCTTCTGCAGCCATGTGGTTAAATGTGCGAACATTAACTGTATATATATATTAATTGTAGGATTCGACTGTGATACTACAATATTAATGTATTTTAGCCGTTTTAGTTAGTTGTATTTAAGAACGATGCCATGCTATCGCATGTCTGAATCAAATGGGACCCGGTTGAACGATAAAAAATCATATCGAGATTAGGTTACCACAATAGCCTCGTTCACACGAGACCTCGTATTTCTGAAATACCGGATTTGCGAAATACCGTATCTGAGACAAATACGCGGCCGAGCGTTCACACGCTGATTCGCGGCTCCAGAAATACGGTATTTGCGAGCTGCGAGCTGCTTTAAACAATCAAGCGAACAATGCGAAATAAACAATGCAATGCGCACCAACTGCCGATAAAATACGTAGACTGGTCCGCGCTCGACAGTTCCACTCGCGTTACACTAGAACTGTCGAGCGCGGACCAGTCTATAAAATACGCGGCTTCAGAAATCCGGTATTTAGCGTTCACACGAGGAAATGCGCGGTCCAAGAAATCCGGTATTTCTCAAGCACGGCAAATTATTCGGGGTCTGGAAAGCCTCGTATTTACATGAAATACCGGATCTGTTTAGATACCGTATTTCTTGGGCCTCGTATTTTGCCTCGTGTGAACGCTAAATACCGGATTTCTTGCTACGTGTGAACGCGGCTAATGTTCTGACGGCATAGGAAACTCCGTGTACGTGCATGAAAATTAAATGCGTCATTCACTGCTCACCTCCTACAACTACGTTCTGGGAAAACACTTGTCTTAAATCACGTGCTAGTTTCATAATCTGGGTAGCCAAGTGGATGCTTGACTTACTGCCCACTATCGATATCTCATACGCATCTTAGTGCAATGTATTAATGTAATTAATGCATCTTAATAATTAATGCGTCTTCCTTTGAATAAATGGAAAACGGTTTTAGAATTTAATGAGAATAATAGTGGTTTATTTTATGATCACGCGAGATTCTTGCGAAACGGAATGCTGTTGTTTACTTATGGTGTTAACGTGAGAATGATGTTGAGAGTGTTAGCCGGTAATGTGTTTTCGTGCAACATACAATGTCGCGCTTCATGAAAATGTGTTTTTTTTCGAAAATGAAACGCTAATTTTTGCTTGACGGAATTTCTCGTTTTTAGCGTAGTGATGCTAAGCCCCCAACTGCCGGCTCTATCCGAATGTGGGACGCTTTAACTTAAAAGTCTGCTATTCATCTTGCAGTGGATATTTGCGCTTCTACTTTGATACGTATTACAATTCAGCTATTGTTTCGTCTGGTATTTCTTGTTTTGGTTGAGCAGTGTTTAAACTGGTCTTAAAGACTCAGCCGTGGTAACTTTCATCCGAAATTGGGTTAATCGTATTTATAGTAAAATATTAATTCATAATGACACGTATATACCTCGACTATATTTGGAAATTCGCGTAGTTAGTTGTGCGTAACTAAAAAAATCTGTTACTTATAGTATACACATTAAAGCTTAAATTCGCCATTCCTAGTTCCCCTAATGAAATCATTGGATTCCTTTCTAATGCTCTTGACGCTGTTAGGTTATCACCATCGCACGTTAATAGCGTTAAATCGCACGTTAATCGTTAGCGTTAGCGTTAAATAGCGTTAAATAGTTAGCGTTAAATAGTTAGCGTTAAATAGCACGTTAATCGCACGTTAAAAGACACGTTATAAATACGTCTTTATACGGCGAAAATTCCCCGCAGTTTCGGCCATCGACATCGTTTGATTACTCACAGTTCTAGGCAGTCTCTATGTTTAATCATAGGATCGGAAAATAATGTTTATGCTCCCATCAAAACATCGTATACCATAAACGCTAGTCTAGAATTGGATGGTCGGTACACAGCATTACTCTAATATATTAAATAAAGCCCATTAGGTTATTATCGTTGGATCGTAACTTATACACCATCAAACTATCCGATTAAGTATCGGTTACACTAGTACTAGTACGTAACGTCATCGTTTGAGTACTCACAGCTCGTAGTGTTTCCCGCTTCTCTTGTAGCCAGGGGGCGGTCCGCCCAGCGGCGGTCTATCGTAGGGTTGCGTTGGCTTGGAGTATTTCACGTTCGTCACAGCAGAGACCGGAGCGACGATGGGCGTGGGATGCGCTCGCGGTCCACGGTACACGTTCGCAGGTGGGCGAAAGTAGGCCCTGCTTCCTCCCGGTCGTGCCAGATCTCTGAAGCGAGCCTCTATTCTCCTTGCAGCGGGATTTTCATATGTGTTAGAGGAGAGGCTCGGGAGAACCGGGGGTGGGGGTAGCGACTGAAATCGAAAACAGGGGATTTAGATTAAGGTGCAAAACACGAAATGAGCGTTTTAACTAAGGACGATTATTCTCTTTTCGCTTATCTTACGCATGCATTTAACTGCTGTTGCTATAATGAACTAGTAATAGCCTAGTAGATATTGCTCCGCGGCTCCTTGGATGACAAAAATGCTAGCTGCTCATGGGTTAGCATTCTCAAAACTCGCCAAAATAATAAAAATCATATCAAAACTCATGAACCCGCATAGAGATAATAAACTGTGATGTGTGATTAGCACTGAAAACAAAATCTCGTTGAGAATCAAACCCAAAAACTAATTGTATGTCAATAAACCGCCATAAAAGCTGTTTATTCGTGAAGCATAAACAGCATAGGTTCTGTTAGAGTATTGCCTTGTTTTTTTCTCTAAGGAAACCGTGTTTGAGGCATGCGTTAGTACAACTGCTAACCGCATAGTCGAAGCACAATTCTTTAGGCAAATAAAAGAGGGGTTCTCAAACTTTTCTATGCCACAGCCACATAATTATGGGCTAAAGTCATTGTTTAAGGAGAGCAATTTGGCTTGTCACAGTGCCACACTTTTGACTTGCGTCAAAGAAATAGTGTTCAGAGTTCTCATACATGAAGTACACCAGCGGCAATTGATTCCCTGCAAACGTAATAATGTCATCATTATTCAACTTTAGTTATTCAATTAATTAATGCTATCATTAGGTGCATACAGACGTGCTACAGTTTACGCTCACACAGTCTCGCATAAAGCTGGCGTAGTACACGATGCTGTACGATACCGTCATCTAGATCTTATTTAGTACACAGAAACATCCTATCATATTGTACAAAGTCCAGTCTATAACTGATGCTGAACGTTAAAACAAATTGTAGCCTCTAGGTTTCATCATAGAATCGCCAAATAATGTTGATGCCCCCTATCGAAACATCGTATAACATAAACGCGAGTCTAGAATTAGAGGGTCGGTAGTTAGACAGCATTATTCTAACATAATAAATAAAGTTAATTAGGTTATTATCGTTGGATTGTCAACTTCTATATCATCAAACCATCCTATTAACTATTGGCTACACTAGAACTAGTACGCAACGGCACGTTGTGGAATTACACAAATGATTAGTCTATATCTGGTATAGTTGGGTCACAAAACCACGCGATGACATGTGCACGTATCGAGCAGGCTAGTTCGAGCCATCTAGTTTAGAATCGTCGCTCTTGGTTACGTAATCTTTGTGTAATCGTTTTACAGCACACATCGTTTTGCCAGTACATGAGTGGCGACGTTAGGGGTACACACACGCGATCCTCACACGCGCATTAAGAACAACACGCGGCCAGCATAATACTTCATCAGTTTCATCACTTATTACGGCGTTAACTAAAGAGAGAGAGAGAGAGAGAGATCTCGAGAGTGTCTCTGTACTTCTAAACTCACCGCCACGGCGCACGCCACGCAAAAGCTGAGCATCAGCAACGGCTGCATCATGTGTGTGTACGGTCCGTTCCTGCGAAGAGCGCAAAATTAGAAGGAGAGCGATGATAGACTGAGATAGTTGTCAGTACACGCACACGCACATATATATATATAAATACACACGGTAGATAGCCAGCGCCGATCCTTTTCCCGTGCGTCTTATATACGCCAGCACTAAGCACCAGAGGCAATACCTGTGGCACGAGCGGTCTCCAGTAGCAACTAAACCCGTTCGGCGACGCGTCTTCTCTTAATGGGCGCAAGAGGCGTTACGTCAGAGAAGGCGGTGGCCTTTACCTTTCTCTCTCTCGCTCTCTCTCTCTCGCTCCGCACCGGCTGGCTGGCGGTGAGACTGACTCCGGTGCGTTTAAACTGTGTAAACTCTCTGTTTTCTATGGCTCTCCTCGTCACCCTGAAGGCTGCTGCTGCGAACACAAAGAACAGAGTGCGACTGTGTATGATGACATAGCAGCATTCTCCGGCGTCGTTGCCAACTGACCTACATCTAGCCGACATATAGCGAGTCATTATAATCGGCTGGTGATGTTTCCACGTTGATTCATTCGATCGCCCAACCCCCTCTTCGAAATTGAGCTGTTGCGGGATCAGTGAAAGGGAACATGAAACGCCGGCATTGTTTCGCTTTACACAATACGATTATCGATTATCGATTCTTCTTCATAACCGTGAAATTTGCGCCGCGTCGCATGAGCGCCGCCTGTCGGCAAGCGCGGGCACGCGATACGCTCGACGTCGCGTATCCTGTTGATTTTTTCCTAATTATGTGTCATTCGTAGGCAGCGATGAGCAACGTGCATCCCAGAACCGCGTGCGTGGGCAATCATGGGCTATACACATGGGTACACAGCGTACACGCGCGCGCGTGTGCGGCGAACAGGCGGTTCAAAGCAGAGATACATACGGGCTCACAGCGAAACAGTGACGTATATTGTTAAATGAAGTGGGTTAGTGAGACGTGCCTGACTAACTACAGGATAACGCGCGCGTGCGTATCGACACACACACACACACACACACACACACACACACACACACACACACACCACAAACACACACACACACACACACACACATACACACACACACACACACACACACACACACACACACACACACACACACACACACACACACACACAGCTGTGGACGCGTGCACATCGGCCTTTATGCACGGGGCAATGTCAGAAAGTGTGACAGCTAGGTACATTGTTTAGAGAGCCTTGCACACGTACGCCGAGTGCAAACGTTTTTGGTTCGGCAGTCAGTCGGCAAACGAAACTTTCCCGTTTCGTGCGCGCACGCGCGGCGTTCGTGAGCGCCTCCAACCGCGCAACAATAATACATTATCGGTTCGACGTGTCACGAGATGAGGCGGATCTGTCGTGACCAGAAGATTTCCTTGGTGCGCTACCGCCGTGACGTCACGCGTCTCGTTCGCGCCGGATTTTAGCAGTGTCATAATATCAAGAGTGAATAATAATAGATCCATTATTAGATCTCTCCTGATAATATAGACACGCCTGTCTATATTATGACGAGTCTATAATAATGACACTCCGGATCTTAGTGGTACTAATTTGCAACGCGACAACCAATCGAATGCCTCCTCGCGCCACTACAATAACAGTCTAGCTGAAGTGATACTCACCGCTGACCCGTTATGGGTATGGCCAACAAACATTCCATTATTTATGTCCGAGGGCGACACAACAAGGAAAGGGTGGGCGGTGAATCGCTGTTAAACATTTTTTTTTCATTTAGCGCGCTATAGGTTTAGTAAGACGCCATTGCATCTCGTGCTTTCATTACATGTTTTTTTTGGCTATATTTATTGAAAGCGGTACATGTGGCAAAAAGTCTGTGCGTAATAGGTAGTATTTCGTTTTACACCTTTGATGTTTTAAGACGTGCCTAGTATTTGCACACCTGCTATGTCGTTGTGAATTGTATGCATGGCGTATATAGATAGCAGAAACAGATGAGGTCTATCGCGCGGAAAACATGCGGAGCAATTAATTAGAGCGTGCATGCATAAACGAATTCAAATTTAGGTCATTCGATATTCGAGTTTGTTTTCATTCACATCCATGTGAGTAAGCCGGATGTCCGCTTACATAATTTCGCATATATGCGTTATCGTATGCTCTTTATTATTAATAAACGCAGACCACTAACATATAGTGCCAATGTACTATTGTTAAAAAACAAATGCCTCATGTACGCGGTAATTAGGCATAGACTAAAGCAACAGGAATTTCACATAAGTGAATCTAAGTCGCATACAGATGTATGTTTGGTTCGTTGGATTGGAAGTATTGCCTATGTATACGGATAAGTATTATTCATTTGCATAATATTTTTTCATGTTTTTGTTAGTTTTTTTCATTTGTTTGCATTTTGTGTGTGTTTGATGCGCATATATTGTAGCAGTTCATTAGTACATAGTAAATACGGTTAGAATTATTGAACGAAACAAATTCATGTCTCAGAGTTAGTATAGTAACTTTTTTTAAATTTTATTTTTAACAGAGTGCACATATGATTCATTTGTTTCCCGAAGGTTATACACGTACGTAGAATTTCAAACAAAATAAGCTCAAGTAGATCTATCATAGCAATCTTCTCACGATGGTTTTTCATAATAGGTGCTAATAACATTTAAGCTGAACAGCCTTACATGTCTCTGCTATTATCATTACCGCCTGAATCCATGCACAGAGCCCTATTCACGTAATCACGCGTGCTTTCGCAATGACGTCACAAAGGTATAATTATGTATGCTTACACAGCGTGCAAGGATCCTGCACACACATATCAAAGAACAGCTTGTAAGTGACACGTACGCGCTGTGCATATGACAAAAACAAATTAACTAAAAGACATATAGACTTGCTCTCTCAAATGTGATGAATCTACTCGAGGAACGTTTGATGTACTTTATGCGTGTAATGCAATCGCGGTATTTGCTTTTCCCCGATACTGTGATGTATGGCTCTGACTTGCGCATAGGACTCGTTTAACCACCTGCTGTTTTTTTAATCTATTTTCTAAAAGAAGATCACATGTAATATATCAAATAGTGTCGTTAGGTTGTGTGTGTGTGTGTGTGTGTGTGTGTGTGTGTGTGTGCGTTTGCGTGCATGTGTGTGTAGGCGTGAGCCTGCGTGCGGGCGCGTGTGAGTGCGTGTGTGCGTATGTCACTTCTAATATACACTCAGAACGTGATTTTTAACAATAAACCCAGTAATCAATTGATCCTTTCTAGGTTAATACGTACTCAATTTCTGCGTCACGAACGCATATATTGAATTAGTTTGAGTATCGCCGTAACGTGAGGGGGGCAGTTTGCTCTCATCATTAGCGCATCTATATATCTCGACGACTCATTTCATACATATTTTCTAAGACAAGAATGTATTAAGAATAAGAATGTATTCCGAGATTGTTCTTTTGCGTGTTTGTTCTCTGGTCTCTGAATAGAAAACAATGAAATGAATGTTCGTATAGCCATAGTAGCTCTGATTTTAATTCAGGAATCCTATAACATTGGCCAGCGGGGGTTATAGTGTCAGAGTTGTCGCACTAACCCAGTTAGTACTAATTTGCACTCACATCACATATCGCGGATGCTGAAATCGTAACACAGAATTTTACTGAAAACAGAACGGAACCCCGTCAACACCGCAACCAAGGTGGGGACACGTCTGAGTGTCCTGTTTGATTGTCACTCTGCTGTCCCTGTCAGTTTTAATGGACTGATGTTTTCTAGATGCCGTTCATTATGGCGCATCACTTATGACAAATCGCCTATATATTCTACGTCTACCCGAAGGCTTAGTGTGGGGCTGTCCTTGAGACGGGCTACTCGATCAGATATGCACTCGCTACAGAGATGTGAAATTATAATTTAATTGCAATCATACTTGCAATCATATTTATAATTTAATTGCACTTATACTTCATCGCAGGGCGCAGAACGTCTTAGAACCGGAATAACCGCGAGAACGCGTATCGCCTACGTGACAAAAAACCTACTATATACTCAACGACCTAATTTGGAATGTTATAATAATACCTTTTATGTTCGCCCTTGAACATGGGGCTTGCGCTTTAAAACACCCGTAGGCGATGCCCGGGCGCAAACAAGTACGTTTCCTTTGCGTGACACAAATTGCGTTAAAACATGTCGTAAATAGTGGACACATGTCGTAAATAGTAGACGCAAGATAATCACGCGAGAAAGAAAATAGTGGACACATAAAAAGTAAAAGTAAAAAGTAAATAGTGGACACATGTCAAGATAATCACGCGAGAAAGAAAACGAAAACGTTCCAACGGTTCTTTTTAAGGTTTAACGGTTATCGCACCGGCGAAACCGCTATTACACAGCGGTATTATTATCTGGAAGGTCTTTGCAAATAACTGCTATACTGCAAGACAGTTGACATGACAATAGGAGTGAATTAAAATAGATTATTCACTACTATCTATTATCAGATCTATTCATTCACTCCTGATGACAATATAACATTATTATAGCAGTTACGTACAGTTGTCGAGTTACAATAAGTGATCGCCTACGTTATATACGCGTCCATTCCAGAAGTATCAAGTATACGTATAGTATATTTTTAAGTTACCTATTTTTATTAAGCTACTATATATGTTGTATAATACTTTGTTTCTACTGAGCTATACTAGTAACTGTACTAAGCTTTTTTTCCCATTAAGCTACTAGCTATTTTTATAAGCTATTTGTAGCTGCACTAAGCTAATTTAATTAAGCTTCCTAGTTTTAGTTACCTATTAAGTATACGTGAGTAATAGCACAGTGGCCATTCCATCCGTGAAGCAACGAGTAACGCTGGTGCGCGCACTCGACCGCGCATCGTAAATTCGAAACAGTGCCGTCGCCGCTTTTTTATTATTTATTTCCAACGCTCGATTGTTTGTCGTCGTATCACACCTGCGGCGACCTTCGTCGGCGATAGATTCACCACCCGGATCACCTCCTAGCGTACCTATTACGCGAGCGTTGTCGTCACTCTCGCGATATCGTGACGGGCCCACATGTGTAACGACGTTGCGAAGACCTTGATCTCAATAGTCGTCTTCGCCGACCGATGCCGCAGCCGGCGGCGTTTATAACGCAGGGTGCAACCGAGCGAAAACAAAAGTTCCGTTATGGCGATGTCCTCCGGTGTAAATTAGAAGCAATTGACCTCCGACTCCGACAGCTGACGCCGCGATCCATCTTCTAACCCCACCTATTTAGCCGCCCGCCCTGCCCCGCGCCTGCGCGCCGCCGTTCAAGAAATTCCTGCTGCAGGTGGTAATTGCGACGATGGACTGGCGCTTCTGGCGCGGCAGTTTCGGAGCTTGATGGGCGGTTATGTCCGTCCACGGGGTACCCATTCGGCATGAGGATGTTGACACCTGTTGGCTATCATTAGTTGAGAAACTCAGGCGTTTGGCATTCACGCTAATATTTATTTGAATGTGAATCATCGTGTTTCTGGGCGTGCGGGAAGCATTACTTTCTCAGAAAATATCGCTAAACGCCGAATGAAAATGTCACGTTGTGGCCTGTAAGCCGAAGGTCGGTGTAGCGGACCTTATTACAACTGAAATATTTAATTACGGCACGATATATATATATGCTATTCAGCGGCGTGGCCTACGGTATATATGCGGTAAACAACTAATACTGTTAATACAGATGTCAGTGGTGAGGGCTTGTGAAATACCGAAAGTTTGAGGGGTGAAAACAACAGAAATGAAACAAACAGAAACAAACAGGAAAAAAACAATGGATGAGTGAACGAGACGAGATGAAATTATAGTGCGCAAACACCTGGCAGCGGTGAGGGATATTATCAAGAGCGTATAAGGAAGCTTCTTTATACGCTCTTGATATTATGCAGTGAAATCTTTCTGAGATTATTCGCTTTCTAAAATTGGGCTGTTTTTAATGCATAGGTGCGTTTTATAAGGCGCGAAATACGGTAGACGCATAACATGCATCGTCGTCATTAGTCGTCTTAGTTGTCATCGTCGCGCTTCTGTATCATGCGTAACAATGTTTTAAGGCGTATGAAGCCAACATACGGTTGCACCGCACTGTTTTTTTTACAGCTACCAAAAGAAAAAGTGCTAGTGATAAAGTAACATAAAAGTTCAATGTTAAGATATATTGAGATATAATTGCCGCATTCATGTATACGCATACGTGTAATGTATCCGTCCTTCGTCCAGTCTGATGTTTCCTGTATGCGTGTCTAGGAAATTCAATGTCACGCGATGTTATTACAATTAAACACAACAACCTGTGATAACTGTAATAAAAAAGGCTATCTAATATATAAAATAACATATATTACGTGAGGCTAACAAATATACAACAAGCCACAGCAAAGAATAACGTTGGGCTATTGATGTAGGTACTCCATAAATGTATACACGATATAATTTCACGCGGCGGTGCACAACACGATACGCTCTGTTCTAATTTCCCGGCTCTATCATCATCACCATCATAGAACGAAAAGAAAAAAAAACACACACACAACACACACTCAGAACTGTCTAATTTAATGCAATTACTTTAATCGACCGACGAGAATTAGTTAATATAAATTGCGTTATTAATAATGATTCACGGGAAATGTTTTGCAGCGGCGTCGTTGTTGCGCTGTCGCTGACAGGTCCCGACAGTCGCATCGCATCTTTCCGCCAACGAGCACACAACGTGTCGCACCGCTGTAAACAGCCCGCCGACCCAGTCTAGGTTAATATCGCTTTGCTCCACATTGCTTTTAAGTGGCTGTTTCTAACTAGCGCCGTAACTAGCATCTAACTACTCGTCGTGATCAGCCGCAGATGTACTGTTCTCTCACAAAGAGCTATTTGTTGGAAACGAGGGGGACGGGTCGTTGCGCGTGCCCTGATTTTTTTCTTCTCCCGACAACGACGAGCCTGTACAATGAAATGCCGTGAGTCTACAACGCAGGGAACCTCTCTCTCTCTCTCTCTCTCTCTCTCTCTCTCTCTCTCTCTCTCTCTCTCGCGCGCGCGCGCGCTCTCTCTCTCTCTATCCCTATATGCCGTACTCGTAATGTAGGCGTCTCCATCGCCACCGTCGCACTGTTCGCATAGTGGCAGAAGATAAACGCAAAAACCCCGATCGGGGGATGACACCATGGACGTGATAATTGTGTTTGAGAAGCAATTCGCGCGCACACATCTAGCAAATACGTTAGCGGGTTAAATGCGCGAGGTCGCGACTTATATTCAGAAAACGACATTACTCGCACTTGATTTGCGTAAAATATTTCCGCCGGTCCGGTCTTCAAACTGGCGCGGTTTCACCGAAAAGACATAAAAAGGTACGCGTACATTAATATTTCTCTATATACTGTTGCGGAATATCGGATTGACAGGTTGAAGACTGGTAGCAGTAGCTGGAGTGTGACTTATCTAAGCGCTGTTTCTTTTCATGATCGGAACACACGCACACGATTACGTTTTAGTACGTAACTAAAATCAACTCAAAATTTCGCGAACCTAAGCATATGTATCTACGCGTTCGTGTTTTTCTCGGCTGTCTTTCGCCGGTTAGCTACAACGCATTAATATTTTGTTAGCAGCCGACGGAAAGAAAAATACACGAAACGTGCATAGAAAACAATGTGCAAGGCGTACTGTGCACTTGTGCTCTCCGTAACGGTAAGTGTATGTTTATCTATTAAGGTGCGTGTGAACAAAATAATCTCAGACCTTAGAGTATACAAGCTGTCAATCATGCGTAGAAAAGTGGGACATGATAGACGTCCGAAGATCGTGAAGGCGAAATTTGTTTGCTATTAGTAGTAGCAACAAGGGTCCTTAGACTATAGTTTATGGACTTTTTAGCACGTTCTGGGTGGCGCGTATAAATTCCCTAATCTTTGTAATCCAAGTTCACCCTGAAATTTATGATGATGATGATGCCGACTGGTATAGATAACACGTGCGTAAATTACACACGCGGGCGCGATCGCAACGGGAGAATTCAGTTCAGCAACGCAAACAAAAAAACCAATGAACCAAGAAATAAACGCTGTGAGTCTGTGACTATACTTGCGAATTTGCTGGGTCAAGGTCGCGCGCCTGTTTCGAAGTGTCGAAGTGAAAGGAATGATCTATCGCTTATGTCGTTTTTTGGTTATTTAAATGTCGAAGCGTGACACGCACAAGCTGGAATCCGGGTCTCCCTGAAACACCCTATATAAAAAGCCTTCTTTATATGCTCTTGCCTAATTCTATTAAAATAGTCAAGCTCTAGCACGCCGCAGAAGTAATGTTTGATTGATGGTGGCTTACCCCCTACTGCGCCGATGTGTCCAGCTATAGATGTGCAGTGATCAGTCACGCTGGTTCGCCCTCTGGTTGATATACAAATTGATTACCACTTAAAAATGTTACCCCTCGAAATCCTTTCTCTGGTAAGAAATGTCTTCACGTCCCTTACTTCATGCAGAATGATGCTGATACCGCGCTGCAGCAGGGAAATATGGCGATATTTGCACCCGAACAACACAGCAAGCGCGTAATTTCCATTGTCTATAATAGCAACCATATATACTAGTTATCACATCAGCATACGGAAGTCGTTCGCTCGTCTGTACGCACGCGTCGAAACGCGGTAACCACTTCTTAAATTATTGACACAGTACTTTGCATGCGTACTGTCGCTGATCGAGAGAGTAGCGAAATACAGACGAAGTATTGCGATATTCGATTCTGATCATCCGCAAGCGTGTAGAGCATAGTTACTAACGCAGACATGCATATGAGATACACACGTGTAGAATAGATACTAACGCAGAAATGCCTATGAGATGCATGCGTCTAGAGTAATTACTAACGCAGAAATGCTTATGGGATGCATGCGTCTAGAGTATCTACTAACGCAGACGAACGCTTGCCTCACACACAGCTTGCCCTGGCGTCGGCGGCCGGTGGATATGGAAGGGGCAACATCGGATACGGCGGATCCGGAAATGCCGGCTACCGCGCCGGCCTCAACGTCGGTCACGAAGGCGGAACGAACGCCGGCTTTCACGCCAACAACTTCGCCGGCCACTCGTCGGGCGGTCTGACGGGATACGGCGGAAAACTGGAGCTGGACTACGGCGGTAAGCTAGCAATAGGCTTCAAGGGAGCCGGCCACATTTTCAGCCAGGGACTTGCCGGTAACCACGGCTTCGGCCAGGGCGGCAATTCGGCGTACGGGCACGGCAACGCCGGAGGTAACGCTAGGGGAGGCGTCTCCGGTAACGGACACAGCGGCGGATACGGCGGCCGCGGCGGATCCGGACTCGGAAGCATCCTCAATGACTTCAACAGCGCTTACGGCGGAGGCGGCCAAGGCCACAGCGGCGGGGGTCACGGATACGGGAAGGGCCACGGCTTCGGTGGAGGCACGGGAGGAGGCCACGGCGGTGGAGGCAACAGCGCCCACGGAGGCGGTGGTGGAGGCGGCTTCGGCGACGGTGGCGGAGAGGGAGGTGGAGGTGGCGGCGGCTACGGAGAGGTGTACGGAGGAGGGCACGCAGGAGGATACGCAGGTGAGGAGAATGAAATTAGTTATAACGTGTTCGAGTTAAATTTAGCAACTGTCTCCTGCTGTAGAAACCGCCGGGGGGGGGCAGTTAAGACGCCTTCGAATAATCGTCGTATGGTGTACTATTGTTCTCTGGCTCGCGGCGACCGCTCTCTCCACCCTCTCTCTCGTCTGCTCTCGGACCCCTCCTCTCTGTCCTCTACGTCTCTCTCTTGTCTGTCTCTCTCTCTCTTTCTTTCTCCTCTCTCTCTCTCTGTCTCTCTGTCCCGTCTCTTCTCTTCTCTCTCCACCCTTCTCCTCTCTTCTGTCCTCTCTCTCTCCTTCTCTCCCCTCTCGTCTTCTCGTCTCTCTTCTCGTCACCTCTTCTCTGTGCTCTTCTCTCTCTCTTCTCCTCCTCTCTCCTCTTCTTTTCGTCCTCTCTCTCTCTCTCTCTCTGAGATCTCTTTCCTCTCTGCCATTCTCTCTCTCTGTCTCTCTCTCTCTCTCTTTTTATCTCTCTATTAATTTATATCTATAATTTGCCGTTGATGTTCTACAGGCGGCTTTGGCGGAGGATTTGGCAACGGCATCAGCGGCAACCATGGCGGCGGTCACGGCGGTGGCTATGGAGGTGGCTCAAGCGGTCTCAACGGCGGTGGTTATTCTGGTGGCGGCTCCTACAATAATGGCTATTAAACACAATAGATGCTCTTATGTTAGGAGTTTCAGTTCGGTGCCTTGCTGCACTTGCGCGAACTGCCTTCGTGCTAGCGTTGGTTAAATTTCTAAAATCGCGTTTGCGTATTCTCTTTTTGGTTTTTGATATACGTATACGCGGTCAGCGTTTCTGTTGTGCATTGTAGGGGTCTATACGTGTCAAATCAAGATGCTCATGGCGGGTTTTTAAAAATTTGTGTTTTTTTCAAAATGAGTTTGTGTTGTAGAGTAACGTCATGATAAGAAGCACACTCTTTCTATTATGGCGCACGACGCGCACTGTGAGATGTTCGATTATATTTAGACAATCCGTGAATAACAGACCCTAATGTTTTATCATTCGAAATATCCGGCACTGACTCGTTGCCCCGATGCTCAACATTTTGAAAACAGATTTAAGCATACAGTACCGAACCTAGTACAATAACGTTAGGGGGGAACTATGCGTACAGCAGGAACAAAATACCTTAGCAATAGAAGATGTCAAGATTGGTATTTGCGTTCGATGCAAGCGTCCGGGACGGCAATTCACCCGGGGCGAAATTTTGGAGCTGTTAACACAGTTATATTGAAGGGGAAAATAACTGGTGGCCTAGGCAGCTGTACTGACAATAGTCATCGAATGTGATGTGCTTGTTGCAGTACCTGGTTGTTTTTATTACGTGTTTTTTTATTTGAATAAATAAATAAATAAATATTTGTGTGTTATTATACTAAATGTTTAATGCGTTTAAAGAGGTTATTTTATAACCGAGACATGAATATTTTATATAAAATTAGTTTCATTTTAAAAACATTTATTTGGCACTCATATCGAAAAGTTATAATTGTCTGGGGAGCGCGATGCTACATCGAATTATAATCAAACTATAAAATGATACAATCTCATTACAAATGTCACACACTGGCATACATGTCGATACGCTTATAAGCCAGGATAAAATGTAATTGTATTAAAAAACTAGTTCAGTCTCTATTTGTTCGTTTGAAGCTCGCGTTGATAATCAGTATGTGAGCAATTACTAAACAATCTCCACGCACCCACGCATCAGTGTCGCCATACAACGGGAGCATTCACTGTAAAAATGCCACTTATTTGCGATAACGAATATCCCCAAACGTAAAACACATCACAACATTACATTTTTAAGCGGATAAACGGGAATGCATCCTCGATAACCGAAGATGCTATGGTAGAAATAGTTGTATACAGATTGCTAAATATGCGAGTCTGGTACGAGTTGAGGAAAAAAGCACAAGTACAATTACCCTATAAAATCAAGCGACTGGCTAAATAAATCATTAAAACATAATCATGGACTAACGATTAAGCAGTTTGCCGCAGCTCATAGTTTAAACAAACGCGTTTACAGGCACAATATACACGTATATAAGCATATTGTCATAAACGACCCCGACACATGTTGCTCCTCGTGTTTATTTTCTAAAGAAGAACCGCTGGCACCCGATGTTGTCATCTGGACAGGCGCATGTACGTCCGTTATGTGGAGTTGGCAAGCATAGGGAATCACAACCGCCATTTCGTTGTGCGCAAGCATTAGTGGCTAAAAAGACGAGAACACAAAATAAATACAAATTTAATCGAAAATGTACTCAGAAATGGGATCAAAAATATATATACAGGGTTTACACTCACATACAACATGGACGTACTCTGTATAGAGTCGGATATGATATGGCGCACGCACACACATGCACATACACACACATATGCATACGCACACGCGCACACACACGTACGCACGCACGCACACACACACACACACACACACACACACCCACACACATATCCACGCACGTACACATGCACGCACACACACGAGCGCGCGCGCACGCACACACACACACACACACACACACACACACACACACACATACACACACACATACACAGACACATACACAGACACACACAGACACACACGCGCACGCGCACGCGCACGCGCACGCACACGCACACGCACACGCACACGCACACGCACACGCACACGCACACGCAGCCGACAACGACACTCACACGCACACGCACACACACACACACACACACACATATATATATATAGAGAGAGAGAGCGAGAGAGGGGGAGGGAGGGAAAGAGGGAAGCAGGGGAAAAACTAAGAATCTAAAATATATGTAAATGTGATGAAGTGGAATAAAGAATTTGAGCATTTTGGACGGCACAACATGACATTCCTCAGTCGTATCCACATAATAACGCGAAAAACGTTTCCCCATCAGACACTAGAGGGCAGCACCGACTTCTAAAAGGAAAATGTATTTCACGCGTACTCACCTCGTGGGCACGTGCTCTTCACGGCTACGATTCCGTACAGCCGACCATTGCCACCAAGTGGCCGGGGCTTCATCTCAGTCGCAAGACCTCCCAGTTTGTTAACCTTGTTTAACTCGTTGCTAGGATAATGTAAACGATGCCAATAAATTGTCAAAGCCGCAGAAATTCAATTTGCTGTATAAAAAGTGATTTTTTGATTTTTACGTGTTATGCGTAATTAAATGTACATGCGAAGATAGTGACACGCTGAAAATAAATGACTTAATAATAATTTTGAAATTAAAATGAATAAATATCAGATGAAAGAGATGCCGATTTGGTAACTTATAATCACTCTAGTTAGCATCGTAAATAGTATAATGCTCATACCTGTCCCAATCTGTCCAATAGAGGGAGTCACCGAAGTTAGTCAGTCCGAATGGATAGTCAGCAATGCTGTACACGATACGTCTTCCGCTGCCCTCCAGGCCAATGCACTCTATGCGGTGTGTTCCCGCATCGCCCCAACACAGCTCCTCGTTGTTGAAATCTATCGTAAGTGCGTTGGGGAGGCTGAGATCGCCCGTGACGAAGTCTTCCCTGTAGTCACCGTCCATCCAGGACGTCTCGATGCGGGGATTTTCCCTGTTCCAGTCGCTCCAGAACAAGCGTCTAGGGAGGAATATCACAGACGTGTGCATTAGCGCCAATTGAGGTCAATTGCCGCTACGGTTAACCAAGGTAATAGGTGCATTACGCGTGCACGTGTCACCTCTTCGTGCATACTTACAATAATTGAACAGAAGGACAACGCGGAGGGAAAGTAAACAAAGAAAAAAACATATTATGTACGTTACATCTTATGTATACATGCATGTTACATACATGCATACACGCACATAGCACATGATTTCTGATCACGTCGCTATAATGTATGTGTAGTCATTAAAATATATAGGTTTTCATTTTGTTCAATCATCTACGAACCCTTTATACGGTTCGACGGCAATCGCACGTGGGTTAACCAGTTCTGTGGCGACCAACACCTTTCTGCTGGTACCATCCAATTTCGCAACTTCAATTGTATCCAACTCAGCGTCTGTCCAGTACATATTACGGGACACCCAGTCGATCGCAATGCCCTCTGGCGACTTCAGCCCTGTTATAAAAATCACATGTGATCAACAGTGTTTTCAATGTCTGCTTTATTATCTTTGTTACCTTTCGCATTATAAACCAAATCAGCGAGAAAATTATGTTATATTTTTTATATTACGTTGATTTAGAATTGAACGTGTCACGACGTCATCTTGAACAGAAACGTCGTTTGAGGCGCTGATGCGGTATATGACGAAGCTTACCAGCGATGATAATTCTGCTGTCCTTTCCATCGTACGTTGCACGCCGGATGTTACCATTTGCTTGATCGGTCCAATAGAAATATCTCTCCTGACAGTCAACATCCAGCGCAACCGCAATCTCTCCCTTTGAGCGAAACAACGAAAAACAAATGCCATCACGATAACTCGATTTACTATCGGATTATCTTGCAGATTAATAGCGACACGTTTAGTTTTACTTCATAGGATTAACGCAGCGTATTACAGAGCCACAAATGCCTGTTACGTGTAGGAATAGAATGCGGAATATGCATGCACATAGTCACACTTACCGGCACCATTGTCGCTTGCCTGCCTCGGTTCTCTTCTGTCGGTTCGTAAGGTATCTGCATTACCGACATTCCGTGTCCATACAGCAGGAACTCACCTTGCAGTTGGTCGGCATCTGCAAAACACATAGTCAACATAAGCGATACATGCCCACGCGTACACACGATGTTGAGACTAGGTTCAGAGACCGTAGGTTGACGAGTTGTTTCTCGATGTCAGTAACTACATAAGCGATACATGCCCACGCGCACACACGATGATGAGACTAGGTTCAGAGACCGTAGGTTGACGAGTTGTTTCTCGATGGCAGTAACAACTTAAGCAATGCATGCACACGCGCGTATATATGACGTTAGGTTCATATTAGGTTGACAAGAGGATTCGATGGCAGTCAGCTCTCTCGTCAATGATTCGTACCTGCGCATCGCTTTCCATTGCCACGGAAGCCCTGCCTGCACCGACAGTGGTAGCTTTCCGACGCAGCATCATGCACACAGTCTGCGTTCACGTCACACAGTGTTGGCACCTCGTTGCACGTCCCTGCCAAACAGTCACAAATATATACATATATATATATATA